ATTAAACCTTATCTTCTTTATAAAATATGTCTACCAAATAAAATAATTATTTCATATCATAAAATAATTGTCAGAATATAACTTGATCGAGCAATAATAATAAGTGAAAACATATATTCATGATTTACTTGAAATTTCTCAAATGAAGAGTAATCACATGTGCAATATTTTATAATTTGGTTTAAGTTCACATAAAAATATTTGATTTAGATGATTTTTGTTGAACAAGCTCAATTGAGGTCATAAATAGTATGCTAATAAGTTTTCTTTCAGATTTAGAGTTATTGTCGAGGATTACACATCAAAGTTTTCAAATGACTTAAGTATGAGTTTTGACGAACTTTGACTTCATACCTTAAGACGAGACACAATATACCTTAAAAATGACACATGTGAATTTTAAAGGAATATTTGTTGAGAATATACGATAAAAATCACGTTTCATCAATCATTGACCTAGACATTGATCAAATAAGGATTGACAATTTTCATTATATAGTTGAATGTCTTTTTAACAAATCAAAATTTGAGCATCGAGACAATAAATAAATATCAGACGGTTGGCTGAGATATCTAAACAAAAAACTTTTATGGTTACAAGAATCTAAATCAAGGTATTGGGTTAAAATGAAAAATCTCTAATAAGAATGAGTTTAATAAGGCAATTGTAATCAGTCATTTGGTTATATGGTGTGGGTCTATGACTCCATGCCAATTTTTGGCAATAATAAAAACCTTTTCAATATCAAAGTATATCAAATAGGAATTTTCTATTTTGTAACAATAAGCCATTTGTATTTACAATAAATTTGTCTACAATACATCCAAGCAATGTAGTCAAAATCACGCTTTAAAACTTAAGAACTTACGATTTTATGTTTCTATCTCACTAAAACGCTTCTACACAAAATGTCAGTTTTTATAACTTACGTAGTTAAAAATTCCGCTTTAAAACTTACAAACTTACGATTTTACGCTTCTAGATCACCAAAACGTTTCTACGTAGAAACTCGCTTTTGATTACATTGCATCCAAGAATTCAAATGTAAGTTAAATGTCACAATATTTGTATGAATTCTTAAAGTTTATAAACAATTTCAAAAAATTACAAATCATTATTACTTAATATTGTAGGAATTTAAAACTAAATTAGTTCCACATCAACGGATGACTAGCTCTCACCCTTTCACAATGGACAAATTATAATTCTTGCTTATATAATTTTTTGTTTACTCTTTAAATTTTCTCATACAAATTCTCTCTATAAAAATAAAGCGCAACATTGAAAATAATAAAACAAAAAAATTGGATCAAACCGCATAAAAACAAACCTCTTCTTATTTTTTCAAAATCATGAGATTTCTAGCATTTCTTTTCTCTATTTTTTTCAAACAGATACAGGGAAGGAAATAGTAAGGCATATTGAGTTTTTATTCTTTGTAAGAGAATATGAGGGTGAAGTTACATAAGACAATGATTAGATGGAAAACAATTGACCAAGTGTAATATATGTTTGACTATTGACTAAAAAAGTTCATCCTATCATTGCGAAAATGAATTGAATGAAGTTGATGATTGCTCATTGCTCCCTCTTCACCCCTGACCTGTAGCTGACAACTAGTCTCTTTTTCCTAGAGATATGTGGTTGTTTGTGGTTGACTGACCATATTAAACTCTTCTTTCCATTTGTTTCTTAATTTATTCCAGATTACAACGGCTGGATGGTAAATTTCCCTTGCTCAAATCAATGATTGTATTTCTCTTCGTTTTTCAGGTAGTTGTTTTATGGTTCTCTATGTTGTATACTTTTATGTAAACATGTAATAGACAATTGGAATAGTTTATTGTTTGAACTTAGAGTATCACTCCTTTGGTTGAATAATTGATCATTTTACTTGCCTATTGCATCCCAATTTCGTGGATGATAAAATGAAAAGCATAGTTGTTAGGATTGTTTATTATGTTCATGAGTGACATACTACTAGCTATATGATTTAGGGATGGCAATGGGTCGGGTTGGGTCGGGTTTTGCCAAACCCAAACCCATGGGTTTATCTTTGAAAAAAATTTGGGGTAAAACCCACCGGGTTTGAAAAACCCAACCCAACCCGTTGGGTATCCGCGGGTTCATGGGTACCCACGGGTTTTGTCGTAAAAAATTTACAATTACAAGTTCTTATCAAAATTAAAGTCAAATATCAATCTCTCAATACAAATTATCCATATATAAAACACCATTCTAGAAAATTCAAGCAAATCACAAATTAACTATACAAATTGTTCAACACCAATCTAGAAAACTCATGAATATTGAAGCAAATCACAAATTATCCATAAATAACATGTTTAATTGAAAGCTTCTTTCTCTCAATTAAGTTTCTTTAGTCTCCACTCCATAACATCAACTTCATTCTACACAATTAGAAAGAAAAAATTAGACATGTCTCCACAAACATAAATAAGAATAGTTGTTTAGAATATTAAATATACCGAAAAAATTAATTATATGAGTGGGCGGGTACCCACGGGCCGGGTTTACCTAAACCCAAACCCTACCCGGTGAATAGTGAACGGGTTTAAACCCAAACCCGGCCCAAAATCCGTCAACACGGATTTTACCCGCGTTGACCGGGTTGGGTCGGGTGGGTACCCGTGGGTTCGGGTTTTGTTGCCATCCCTAATATGATTATGATATGGTCAGTAAGTAAAACGTAGCAGGGGGTTATAAATAGAAAGGAACACATGTGAAATTCTATAAAGGTGCGAAGAAGAAAGAAAATAGTGGTGGTAGTCTCTAAGTTGTCTATGTCGACGTTCTTTTAATTTCTACATGTTTGCAATGACATTTGTTCGTAACCTTAGCGTGAATTTTTGCCTTATTGAATCCCTAACTAAAACTTGATTTTGGCTTGATCGTTTTCTTGACAACAACGATTTGGATTGATGCATCAATCGTGTTCATGAATGGAGATTTTACAAGATACAATGAGTTGGATTTTATTGAATTATGCAACTTTTACAATTCGTCTATGTTGTTATTAGGTGAAAACAATACACCATTGTTATTTTGAAGGGGTGTATGTAGCTCTCTACAAATATAATTAGTGTTTATATGCATTTTAGTTTGCTGAAAAATATCATTTTAATAAATTAGTGACAACTTATAGTTCTATTTTTGGTTGGTTTGGTAGAACATTTTAAAGATAAATTAAATGAATAAGCAGAAGATTGATGATGTAGATGCTAATGTGTTTCCTCATTCTTTCAAAATTATACAAGTAACTGATAGTGCACGATGTTTGTGAGATTTAGAGCGCGATATTATGTATTATCATATACCAACATACGAGAAGGTAGAAGAAATTAAAAGCTCTTTGATTTTTTTTATTAATTGAAACATATTTGCTTATTTAATTTTTTTAAAATTCTTTGTCACTATTGTGTGCTAAAAAATTAATAATCTCTTATATTTATATTCTAAATTGTGGGTTCGATATCAACTTATAAATAAATAAATAAAGGTCTACCGAGAGCTCATTTAATAAAATCAAATTTTCATAAATAAACAAAAGATATAAAAGTGTGTAACAATCCATAAAATCAAGTAAGTGAGTTTAACAATTCAATGTATAATATTCTAACATATACATAAATCATAAAAAAACAATAAAACGAAAAATAAAACACTAATACAAATACGCCGCCCAACGGGCAGGTAAAAAGCTAGTTCAATTGGGTGGAGGAATTCAAGAGATGGTATTGTTTTTTATCTGACACAAAGTTAAAATAATCAAATAAATGAAATTTCCGGTCCCCAATTTGTTAAATAGTCTCAATTCGCTCTCTAAAATGTGCATTGTCAAATTCATGATTTAAAATAGGATAAATTACAAGACAAAAATTGCTAAAAAAGCATGATTCGTGAAACCGTTTCGGAGATCGTACTGGAAAAGTCAGCGGTAGCATATTTTATGACTAAATCGTAGTTTAATCGTAGTTTAACCGTTAGTGCCATTAAATACAGTATACCGATTTAGCCTCTGATACTGATATTTCGTGGTTGAACTGCCGTTACAGTTACAGTAGACCATGAAAAAAGTTAATCGCTAAAAAATCAAAATACTTACAATATGAAAGCATGCATTTAAGAGAGCGGTAGAAGGAGAAATAGAGTCAAATCAAGCTATAAAAATAGCTCAAGAGCAGACAAAGTGGGCGTAGTTGCAAAATGGAGGTGATCGATTATGTCTGGAGGAAAGGGAAGGAAATGAAGAGAAATTGTACGGGATACAGCTTGTTGACAGTGTGGATAGAAAGAAAGAAAGAAAGAAAGGTGAAAATTAAAAACACAGGCCTCTCTCTCAAGACAAACAGCAATGCGGACGGTTCTGCAGTTATTACTCTCTCTATCTCTCTCTCTCTCAGTCTCAGCTGTGCCCTGCTCTGCTCGTCACGGCCACTTCCCCCAATTCCTCAGTAATCCAAATCAAGCTGATGCTGCTAATTTCCCCTTAATTACCCTCCATTCATATTTTACTATTACCTAATTAAGTCCATGCTAATTAGCGGAGGCTTCTCTGGTCAGCACATACATGCAGTGATGGTCGTCAAGTGACGCAGCAGAGCGCCATAGTTTGCGTTTCCAGTGCTGTTTATAAGTACCAAAAGTGTGATTGGCTGATTGCCCATCCCATGCCGTGATTCAGCTCCAGAAAGAAAAGAAAAAACTGCTCTAAATCTGAAGGGGGACATTAATTAGGGGGCTATAATTATACATACCATCACCATCATCACCATTTTTATGATTTCTACCGGCCGGCGCCATGGATCCCAAGAAATGGGAAACAAAACCCAATAATAAGAAGATAATACAAAACCCGATTATGACTGTTAGGTAGGTAGCTAGCTCACGCAATTCCCCACAGGGAATAGCTGTTAGGTAGAGGTGGAGGAGACGCACAGCCTAATTAATTAAGGAACCATCGGCGGGGCGGCGGTTTCTATCGGTAAGAGCGGAGGAGGGCGCCGCAGAAAGTGCAGATGATGGCCCGCCATGTCTTCCAGTAGAAGGGCACGTAGCAGAACCTGGTGCTGGTCTTCATGTCGGCGATGCTGGCTCCTCCGCCGCACCTCGAGCATGTCCCCGCCGCCGGCTTGCTGCTCTTCACCTTCCTCCTCTGATCCACCAGGAAACAGAACACCACCATCTTCGCTTCTCTGCTACTGCTTGCGAATTCCCTTTTCGTCTGTGTGTTTGTGCGTTGTTGGAATTGAAGCAATTTCTGTGCTCTGGTTTGTTTTGTTGTTTTGGTGAGACTGAAATGGGATGAGGACAAAGAGGGAGGAGAAGAGCCGCTGCTTATTTATACTAGGAGGAGGAGGAAGAGGGAATTTGGGAGGTTTAGGAAGGAAGGTTTGGGTGAAGCGAGAACCGTTGGATTTGGGAGATTAGGCAGGAGCCGTGAGATTTCGGTCTCTGTCATGCTCGTGTCGTTGGGAAGTAGTGGGTTGATTTGATTGGGCTCGTCTGAGTGGCCGTACCGAGAGAGAGAGAGAGAGAGAGAGAGAGGCCATTTGACGAATGCAATCTCAGCCGTACACGTAGACGGGGAGGAAAGGCGGATTGATTATTTATTTATTTATTTCTTTAGCTATTCGGTTGGCTGATAAAAGGCTGAATCGGAAGGATATGGTCTTTCTTATGGGATTCGAATTCGAAGCTATGGAAATTAGTCTGACGATTTGATAATTTGATTGTATTCCTAAATTGATGAGATGATTTGTTTGGCAGATGAATCACGAAATGCTACATGTAGTAATGTTCCTTACACACTAATTTCGTGGCTCTGTCCAGGTTACACACTATTTATACCGTAAATTGAGCGTGTACCTTAATGTTATGGTACAGATTTAAATTATGTCTATGTATTTTTGGTCAAATTCATTTATAGCATACACTGATATTGTACCTTCAACATTGAAATACAAATTCAACTTGTACATAGAATCATCGATACTTATGACTGGTGAACATTGTAATATTTATAGATTTGAGGCTAGTTGCTTTAGATTTTCTTTCAAGATATATATCGTTTAAAAAGGTGAAGCGGTACGATATATTCTCTTTTTCTTTTTCGGGGGATGTGAGTAATGTCTTTTTCTTTATGACTGGTAAAAATAATTCTATCAAAAGCTTAAAAACAATTTAAAATTTTATCAGTCAAAATTGAGGCAAACTATGTCGAAGTTCAAAAATTATGTCATAGTCCATGTTGAATATGCAAAATTGTGCCATTACATTTAATTTTTCTTGTATTTATTGGGGGGGATACAAAACAATAGCAGCGTTTGCTGACCTTTTAAACGTGAAAGATATAACCTTCAATATCTATCTCTGAATCTCTCAATCAACATAACTTGGTTTGAAAGACTCTGTAATAGCGATTAGCCTGAAACGGACGTAATATATATCATGTCAGTTCAAAGGTCGGTCGGGGGAAAAAAGGAGTGACCGACTGAGCTATACGAATTTAATGAGAATGGTTGTTGGCGGGAAGAAGAACAGATGGCCGGCCCAACTTGGGCCACTGGCAGTTGGGAGTTCGCCGTTGGATTTGTCCCTGCCTGCTACTGCCGAACCCGAACCCGAACCCTTCTTCTAGACGACTTCATTTAACACAAACACAACCACATCTATTCCTTCGCTCCCAAGATTGCTCATTGAGCTGCTCTTGGTTTTAGTCCCTTCAGCTACCACACACACGCTCTCGAGTCTCGAATCGGGCTACAATCCCAACGTTCGTCGCGCGATCAGGACGTCCTAGCGAGCGTGATTCGCAACATTGGTGAAGCAAATCCGTCAGTGGTAAGGAGACAATTTCCACCCTACAATTCGTTAGGTGGCTACTAGGGGGACTAGTGCTACTAATGTTGCCTCTTCCATGGTTTCTTTTCTTCCTTCTCTTCTTTCATGAAAATGAACCGACCACATGCCATAGCTCTGCTCGGCTACCTATTGTGCCGACAATTGGCTGCTGTCCTTTTTAAGCACACTAATGAAAACACGATATTAAGACCGGCCATAATATACACACACAGCTTTTTCAAAAGCATCATCCAGGTTACAGACAGCAGTAAAACAGTACAAAAGCAACTGGGACTGGGTGGTGGATGTAATTCCCCACTTTCCAGCTTGCTTTCTCTACCATAATCTAAAGATCAGTTCTTTACAGAAGAACAGAAGCATTAGCAGGGGAAAATGAGAGATGTCCATCAGCAGAATCACCCAACTACTAATTGCTATGTATCCTTCATTGCCAGTAAAAGCAACGAACTTCTTTACCTTGCCTGATGGCTGCCAAGCCAGCACAAGCTCAAAAAAAAAAAAAAAAAAGTTTATTGCCAGTATGTGAGGAGAGGTGGGTGGGGCAATGTCATTGTGGAGTCGGCTTTAGTCGACCTCTATGCAAAATGTGGTTGTGGATTATGCTTACAGGGTGTTTGAACAAATGCCAGTGAGAAACTTGATCACTTGGAACACGATGATTAGCGGGTTTGCACAGAATGGAAGCGCCATTGACGCTCTTGCAGTGTTTGATGACATGGTCCAGCACCAGCAGGATGTGAAGCCAGATTATATTACCTTCATAGGAGTTCTTTTCGCTTGTAGTCATTCTGGTTTCGTTGATCTAGGGAAGAAGCATTTTGCATCTATGATCCATGAATATGGTATCAGACCCCGGCACCGAGCACGAGCAGTACAATTGCAATAATACACAATCTATACTGGCTTTAACATGACCACCTACTTGGAAGAAGAAAGAACAAGAGTATGTGCTCTTACAAATTAAACCTGAAATCCTTGGTAAATGCTGCCTATACAATATACACCTTGATGCCTTCGTAACGGTATGGAGAAATAAGTAACATCATGTTCAATCTTCGATATCTGAATCTGAAGTAGTATGTTGAGAATGACTATCAGAATCCGAGAATTCCTGTGAATCAAAACCAAACCTCATATCCTGATCAACCATCTCAGCAAGATCATCCCTATCAGCAATTCTATAGGCATCTACCAAAGCCTTGAACATAGACTCAGAACGTTCGATCTCTCCATACTTCAGCTGGGTATAAACCCTCTTCAAACCTTCCACCATACCTGCTTTTCCATAACAGTGGACCAAATTGATATGCGTTACAATATCCGGTTCAACCCCATCATCTTGCATTCTCATGAACATGTTCAAAGCCTTGTCGATTTTCCCAGACAATCCATACACATAAATTGCAGCATTATAAGCAAATCGATCGAGAACCACTTTGGCTACTTTAGTGAACCCCTCACAGTACTCCAGTGCTAAACCGTGTAAACCCACCATGGAGAAAACAGATGCTATTATACTTTGAGCTGCATAGGGTTTTGCATCTAGATAACTCGATTCGAGCTCTTTAACAGCTTCAGATGCTACCCCTCCTTTTTTCAAGATGGTAAAGAGTAAGCTGAATGTCCAGCCATCAGGTGAGAGCTTCTTCTTAATCATCTCATGCAACAGCTCCCCACAAGCTCGAAGCTGGCCATTGGTCGAGTAACAAAGCATCGCCTTGTTGTAGGAAATGCAGTCGCTTAGTAAACCCGACTGTTTCATCTCATCAGCAACATCAATAGCTTTATCTAGCATCCCCATGCTCTTGTATAAATACATCATGGTTCCGTATGATATCTCATCAGCCAAACCTTTCTCTTTCAACCCGTTGAAAACCATCTCGGCTTCTGAAACCATCCCAAATTCTGCATATAGACTGATCATGCTATTTGATGCAACTGAATCTGGACCACCCTCCAAAAGTTTAGTCCTTTCGTAAATTTGTTTAGCACCATCAAAGCATCCCAGCTTACTATATACCTTAAGAAGGGATGTTAATACGATCTGATTTGGTGAAACCCCGGTTTCTTCCATTACGCTAAAGTATCTTAGAGCCTCTTCGACATTACCACTTTCTGCAAAACCATCAATTAGAGCCCCATACACAACTACATTAGGTTTTACCCCTGCCTCTAACATTTCCTGGTACGTATTGACTGCATCAGATAGCTGCCGTAGGCGGACATAGCATGCAATAACCGAAGAAAATGTTGAACATTGCGGCTTAAACCCCGCTCCTTTCATCTCAGCTAACAGGCTCCTTGCTTTCTCAACCAAATCACCTCCTGATAACATTTGGACTACGGAATTGTATGTGCATTCATCAGGCCAAGTACCGTGATTCCTCATGGTCCTAAATAGAGAAAGTGCTTTATCATAAAGCTTTGCCTTCCCATAAGCTTTCACCATAACGTTATATTCCAACACATCTTTCTTCAAGCGTGCACCATCTCTCTTCCCTTGAAATATAGCCTCAGCTTCAGCCCAAAGCCCCTTCTCTGCATAGACATTCATAATTGCTGCTCGTGTCTTTGCTGACAATGAACCATTGGCTTGACACTTTTCTAAAAAGATCTTTGCCCTATCATGTAACCCTTCATCAATATACATCCGGATAATACCTGGCATTGAATGCTGATCAACACTTCGAGAACTCTTCTCCATTTCCTCGATTATATTCTCCATCTCTCCGACCATGTGCCTCTCGCATAACATAAGTAGAAGAGTTCGATACGTTACACTATCAGGGGAAAGACTAACCTCCCTAATCTTTCTATAACAATTTATGGCTGCATCCACGTTTCCTGCTTCTGCATGGAGAGATATGAAGATGTTGTAAGTTGTGGTATCGGGAGGAATCCTTCTTTCTTCCATTTTCTTAAGCAAGGACTCTGCTTCTGATAAGTGTCCTAGGGTTCCACAGGTAAAGATCATTGTATTGAAAGTTATAGTATCCATTGCCACACCCGACTTCAACATTTCCGCAAAAGTATCAGCTGCATCCTTCAAACGACCAGACTTCCCATAAAGATCGATCAAAGTATTGTAAGTGGATGTTAATTGTGGCTTCCGACCAACAGTAGCCATTTCATCTGATGCAACTTCAACCCCTGGAGTAGGAACTCTCCCGCCTGTCTTGAAAAGCTCAGTGGATAAAAAGTACTTCAAACTAATTGGTGCAGATGAAGACACGTCATCGAAATCAACTGCTGAATCGAATTTAAGATCATCCAAATCAACATGTCCAAAGCACCATTGTCTGTAAAACCTATCTGCCCGATCGAACTCCCCTGCATCCTTCAAAACCTTGATAACCGAATTCATTGTTACTTCATCGGGGAAAAGCCCTCTATGTTTCATATGCTTAATCCACAAAAGAGATTCTTGAACAAGACCAGCTTTCCCATACACATCAACCAGCATCCCGTATGTGTTGTTAGTAGGGAAAACACCACTCTTTGCCATCTCAACCCAGCAAAGCCTTAATTCGTCCCATTTCTGAGCTCTACCCAAAGCCCTAAGCACAATATTATAGTGAATAGCATTTGGTACGTAATCTTTCTGGGATTTGAAGAATTCAAAAACTCTAACTACTTTCTCCCAACCCCTCTGTTCTTTGAGAATCACAGTCTGTTCTTTGGCGCTCAAATTCTCACAACTGCCATGAAGGGTCTTGTCAATATCCTCAGCAGACTCCAGAGAACGCAAAATGGAAGGGAGAACGCCTCCGTATTTCCTTTTCTTACCACGAAAAGAGGAACTTCTGGAGGGCAAAGTTAGAGAATTCGACTGACAACGAAGCTTAAACCCACAAGATATTTTAGCTGGCTCGCTGCTGTAGCACGAGGCGTTCAAGAAACTATATCTTCTTGAAGGAAGTTGGGGGCCGCACTGTAATGAAGAAATTGAAGAAGGATACCGTCGGGTGCGGGGGAGTTGATTAAACCCTAGAGAAACCCTACCCTGGGAAGAAGGAGAATGAAGAGGGCGGAACTTACTTTGAGCGAAGATGCGAGCTTGGAAGCTTTCATGGGTTATTTCCTTGGAACTGTGACAGTGGCTGTAACTGGAAGTGCAAGTGTGAATCATTTTCTCCTTCTCCAGCGACTTTACGGGTTTTCTGATTTTGTACAGAGGAGAAATGATGGGTTTGGTTTTGCTGGGCGTTTGTTGTTTGTTTTGATATTTTGCTTCGAGGGAGCCTCCCCTCCCCTTCAGTCCATCCCGTACTCCAAGTGCTAATTTGTCCGTTTATTTGATTTTTCCATTAACGAGTGAACAAAACCAACGGAACCTAACCCAATGGTAGGTAGGGGTGGAAATCACTACTATATCGGTATCTCAATATTAAATATCGAAATCTCGAATATTAAATTACACTCTAAAATCAATTCCAAATTCAATCCCTAAATAATTTCGGTATTCCAATCGGTACTTCGGTATCCCAATTGGTATTATCGAATACGAAGTTAATTACCTTTGCAATTGATAATTATATATAAATTAGATTTGATTGTTTAATTAGGACAAAGAGACTAAGCAAAGAGTCTTGAATTTGCATAGAGCTAAAATATGGATAAGAAAAATGAAGGAAAGGTAAGGTGACATCTCAAATTATTGTCATTGGTAATCTTTAATTTGAAGAATTGTAGGTAGAGAAATGACTAATACTAGTATTTGCTTTTTGGTGTTATGAAAATAACAAGAGATTAAGTGAGAGGTGGGAGTGACTTTAACTGGAAAGTCAAAATTGAGTTGGATGGGGGCTTCTAAGTTGTCAAAGATTAAGGAATAACCAAAAGTTGTGTGCTATATTTCATTAATTTCTAATTTTTGGTATTTCTTGGTATTTCCGTATATATCGATCCCAATCCCGTAATCGCGAATACCAAATAGCACTCCAAAATGAATTCCCATCCCAATCCCTAAAAAATAAGCCGGTATTTGGTAATAACAGAGTGATAAATTCGGTACGGTATTCGGTATATACCAAATACTGATACCAAACTTCCATCCCTAATGGTAGGGGTGAGTTGGGTTGGATGTAGTTATCCGCCCACAATTTGTGGGTACCCACATCCATAAATTTACAATTATGTTACTCACGTCCCGTACTGCAGTGGTTAGTAGGTAAGGCCAAGTCCAATGCAAGTATAGGTGTCAATCGGGCGGGTTTGGGCTGGGTTCAATTGGGTTCGGGTTCAAACAGGTTGCTGGTTTATCGGGTTGCGGCTTTATTGGGTTTGGGTTCATCGGGTTCAGGTTCAAACGGGTTGCGGGTTCGGGTTCATCGGGTTTTGGGTCGGGTGGGTTGCGGGTTGTTCGGGTCAGTGCATCAAGTAACTTACTCCTTACTCATTACCAACTTACACATTTTATTAAATTAATTTAAAATATTTTTCTCAATTTTTAACCAATTTCTTTCTAGCTCGTCTATGTACTTGATTTTAAAAAACCTAGTCAAAATGTTGAATCAATTTATATGACTTGCAAACTTGTTATGTAATTAATCGTAATTGGTAAAGTACACTAGCTAATAGTAAAGGTTATATCAACATTTGCAACCAAAAGACACCATTAATTTTTTATTTGGTATTTTAATATTATTTAAGTAGTAATTGGATTAAAGTATCTCGTTTAGTATAACCATGCAAATCTGGTATTTGACGTGTGGTATTTGGCAAAAGCATAGTGGTAAAAGGAGTTATTTTAAAATAACTCATTGCCCTAATAACTTCAGTAAAATGTTGCCAAACGAGTTATTTGTAAAATTGTTCGAATTATCCTAAAAATTGAACCATTAAAGATTAACTATCAAATTTAGTAAAATTGTTGTGACTTCAATCATAACTTACTCAATAACATATATCATATACACTTAGCCTTACTCTCAATCGACAATATTTAGTTAATATATGTTGTTGATCGTATACCCTAAACCATCAATATATCATACACTAACAACATATCATATACACTAACCATATATCCCTATGAGTTGTGATTTTACTTGTATAGTTAGTTTAAAGTGAAATTCGTACTTTGATTTTCGAAACATAGATAAAAGGGTTATAGGTATAATATGCCCTCTACTATGATGTTTTATCAAACATGCCCCTCTACTATTTTTTACATCAAATATGCCCCTGTACTTTGAAAAAATTATCAAACATGCCCTACTCTTAAAATTTTCATTGACAAAATTGTCAATCGTGGTTGAACCGAGATTTAGATGACCCGACATTGGCAAATGGGAGGAAAAATGTCAGTTTTGTCCCGTGTTTTATTTCCCTGGGTCTTTTCAAAGTGAAATTATTTGAATGATTTGATTATACAAAAGAACCAAAAAAATCTTAAAGTGAATTTATTAGGGATATTTTAGTCATTTGTGTCGCCCAAACTAAATTTTGGCCTTGGTTAACGGTTTTTGGATGAAAATTTTAACAAAATGGCATGTTTGATCATTTTTACAAAGTACAGGGGCATGTTTGATGTAAAATATAGTAGAGGGGCATGTTTGATAAAGCGTCATAGTAGAGGGGCATATTATACCTATAACCCTAGATAAAAAAAAGTGATATTAGCTATACCCTAACCATATATCTTATACTCTACACCATATACCTTGTACCCTAACCACGTCCATAAACATTAATTAAAAAGGGATCTCCTGCCGTTAAAGTTTTTAAATGACTTCAAGTGAACATATGTTAACAAAAAATTTAGAACCGTCAAAACCATCAATACCTTATACCCTAACCATTTATACCATAAACCATATGTACCTTATACCTATATCCTAACCATATACTTTATACCCTTAAACAACGAACTGTCAAAATTACATATCAAGTTTAGTATAATAGTTGGCTCATATTAACCCGCCCATAAATTATCCATTCCAAACTTCCCATCCAAACCTCACTCTCATTTTCCATTCCAAAGTGACCTGCAACCCGATTAACCAAAAATTTCAAACCCGCAACTCGACTGAGTTATTGCAATCGTAAGACTTAACATGCCAAGTTTAACACCCATTTTGAAATGAAAGTTCAACTTGAACTGAACATAAATATGCGAAAATTTTACTAAGTGTTATACAATAACGATCATGTAGTGTTGAAATTGCAATAAATGTAGAAGCATAGAAAACAAGTAGACAAATTAAGTGAATTTTTTTAAAATAAATGATTGTTGTAAACACCAAATTTGGTTTCTTCTTTCTTTTTCACAAAAAAAAAAAATTAAAATACTAAAACTTCCCTCCTTCTTTCTCCTTCCATAAATTAGAAACACTTAATTTTTACTCCTCTTTCTCTTCTATACAATTGAAAAAATCAAATTTTCCTTCTCTTTCTCTTCCATTTGAAAAACCAAATCTCTCTATTCCTTCCTTCCACAAAAAGTTGAAAACTCCAAATTTCCCTCCTTATTTCTCTTTCATAATCAAAAGAACCAAACTTTTCCACTTCTTCACTTCCCACAAATCAAAACTACCAAAATTCCCCATTTTTACTAAAAAATTCAAAGAACCTAATTTTCTTCTTCTTTCACTTCCCAAAAACTTGAATACACCAAATTTTCCTATTCTTTTAAAAGCATCAAATTACCAAATACATTGCTTTACTTTATTTATATTTAATTGATAAATTTATTGAATAGTTAAGTTAACCAAAATTTTAACTTATATTATATTAATATTATCCATGATCTCAATTATTAAGTATTTATTATTAATATTCACATTGCACTGATTTTATATTTCATATTCACATTGTATATAGATCTTACTCAACTGGAGATTTTTTGGGAGCTGTGATTTCATATTTCACCGACTAGGGGTGAAATATGACAATTAAATATGATCTTGTATTTTATCTCACACAAAACAAAAACATACAGATAAAGTTACTAAAGGTGTCCACTTTTAATAAATTGATTATTCTCCACTCTCTCGATTATAGTGTTTTATTAACTAAAAAAATTCATATTAAACTACTTTAAGTATTTAATTTTGGTGGCTACTTTAATTTTTAGCCTCCCACTTTTCACATACTATTATATAAAAAGTTGATTTAGTAAATAAATATAATTAGTGTGGTTATTGTGAATTTTGTGGGTTAACCACGGTGGGTAGTGGGTAATCACTAACCACAAAAATTATGATTTTACTACCCACAGCCAACCCACTACCCATAACTTGTGGATATGGTTACTCACTGCGGTTTGCGGGTTTGTGCGGTTTGCGGGTTATCCACAACCTGCAACCCAAACTTCCACCCCTAGGGGTGAGCATGGGTGGGTAATCAGTGGTTTGACATCGACTCATCTGCAAAATATATCCAAATTGTATTGAACGTGTGATTGATGAGAGTGGATTGTGGGTGAATAAATCCCATACCTAGATTTATCGGGTAGGTGATAGGTGAGTTGCGGGTCACCCAAATAACCTGCACCCCGTCTTTACATGGAAAATAGTTGTTTCTTATTTATACTAAGAAATAGTTACTGTATTTCTTAACCGCACTACACACTCGCCATCGACTTCTAAAGTTGAAAAATAAAGAATATTTTTGGCCTACTACTATTGGTCACTATGTTGTGTATATAATTTTCATTAGATATAGAGATGCAAACTATAAATTATTAATTATATCTAAGTGGAAACAAAACATGTATTTTCTCTAAATAATTGGTTGATGAAGTAATGAAAGATTTTATACAGGTGCTAGAGATCTCCATAGGTAGCAAATTGGCGAAAGGTGTATAAATTGATGCAGTCTTACTAATTTGGGAGTAATTTATTATAAATATTAGTCAAATTGCCTAATTACATGTTGAAGAATTTCATTTGAGGGTTAATCCACAACCCAATCGCACCCGTCCGTCACCCACCCAATCGATTCGAAGTAGTGTGGGGTGAATTGTGGGTCGCAATTGTACCAACTCGTTAGTAAGCGAGTAGATCAGTATAAGAGCGAAATTCACCCAACTCACACATCTCCCACCCCTTGGGCTCGTTTCTCCAATTCAAAGTTCAAATCCAATCCAACAGATTTACTAGTAAGAAAATCTGTAAAATTTTACTTCGGTATTGAAAGAGAAAATTGAAATCCAAACGAAAGAGCAATGCAGTCAAAAGCGCTATTTTAACTAGAAGCGGGAAAGGGATAAAATTGTAAAGCATAGAATCAAAGCATAAAAGTGTATGGTTTAAAGTAAAATTTAGTCCGATTTTATACACTAAAGATTTCATATGGAAACAAAAGTTTTTTGTTGATCTAGAAGCGTAAAATCGTAAGCTTTTAAGTTTTATGGTTTAAAGTAAAATTTAGTCCGATTTTATATACTAAAGATTTCATAAGGAAACAAAAGTTTTTTTGTTGACCTAGAAGCGTAAAATCGTAAACTTTTAAGTTTTAAAGGTGATTTTGACTGCATTGCGAAAGACATCCAACTCATGTGTTCTATCCCCTCCTTTGTAACTGGGCTTTACTTGAGTAGCACAAGTCCGGTCAACTAGTAATGAGTAATGACTCGATTGATGGTCAACGGTATGAGATTTGACCTGCTTGTGGCATCACCAATATTGCATCCGCGGGTAAAGATTCTTCGTCACAGAAAAAACCAAATCCAAACCAATATCCGTAAATGTAGTGTTTATACGTTCACAAACAAAATTGCACATAATTTTTTCGAACACTAATATTTTGTTGAATCTACTAAATTATTGTATTAATTATCATATATATTGGTCACTAACTATGGAATTTAGTATTAAACTCTTAAGAAAATTTATTTATCACAAAACAACCACAAAGTAGAATACTAACTAAAACTTAATTTGCCTGCCACTCTCTAAGAGTTGCGGCTCTTATTCTTTCCTTTTTCCCTTCCTCTCTACTACATGCTTCAATCCTTAAAGGGGTCGTTTGGATGAGAGATTTTAATAATGAGGGATTTTGATTAAAATCTCTCGTTTAAAATACCAGGGAATTTGTATGCAGGATTTAATAGAAATAACTCGTTTGGATAAAACGCAGAATTTTAACCTTAAAACTCAAATTACAATAACATCCTTTGTCATCTTCCCTCATGTTCATCTTCGTTTGTGATACAACTAGCAATCAATTGTTCTTCCCCTGCTTCTACACCAATTAATCATACTACTCTTCTTATCTGCTTCCATCACAAACCCATAATCCCATTATTGTTTGCAGGTAAAAGAAGAAGATAACAAACTCTGAATCGGAGACAAATAAGAACCCCAATCCAAAATTGCATATACATCTCACTCCCTTCCGATTCCAAACGACCCTAGCTGGTTACCGCTTTTGTATTCCACTTCATATGCCTCGATTTAGCTAGCCAATCGATTGAAACCCAGATTGGGTGATTCCTCCTTCTCTATCGCAATTCGCATCTGACCCCCTTCCCCGATATTCCACCTGACCCATCAGATTCCCTCACTTCTTCTCGACTCTTAACCAACCACATCCAAACAGCAAATTGGCGCCGACGTGGGGATGTTTGCGGCGCGACCACCGACCAGCAAATCGGCAAGCGGACCTGAGGCCTGCTTGTCGTCTTTTGGAGCTCTTCGATCGCAGCCGTAGTGGCGGCGACTGGGGGTCAATGGCATAGGACAACGGGGAAGGTTGACAGATGTGGCGGTGGTTGGGGAAATCTGGATGCTGCTCAGGATGCTCTGCGTCTGCGGTTGAGGGTGGAGTGATTGGAGTAATAAGGTCGGTCGGAGAAGAAGGAAGAAGAGTCGAATGAAGGGTAGGTTTTGGAATAAATAAAAGAAGAACGAGAGATTTAAAAATAGCTGATGGTGATTAGCTATTTCTAAAACCCACGATTGAGAGTTTTTAAAATTCCTAATTGTAAAATCTCTCATCTTTCCCAAACACATAATTGTATTAAAATCCTGCGGAATGAGAGATTGTTTTAAAATCCCTCACAAATCACTCATCTAAATCTCTAATCCAAACGGCCCCAAAAAGAAGTCTCTATTTATACAATTTCCCTCGCCATTACAAGTTCCTCTATGATATAGATAATTTTCCCTCTGGATGCGAGTTCTCGATATGGGTATTGCCCAAATCCAAATCCAACTGAAAGGTTTATGGTTCAACAAATATTTTTGTTGCTTGAAAGGTGATCACTATTCCATCCAAATGTTTTAAGACTTAGTATGCAGGTACCTCAGTGGTTTAGTAGGCTCCGCTGTCGCTCAAGCGGCACGTGGGGCTAAGGTTCTCTGGGTTATAAAAAAAATGTTTTAAGGCTTAAAAGTTGTAGCCAACAACAGAACCAAATGTTTAGGAGTGGCTATCTAAGTTTACTCAATATCATCAATTGTTGTCTAACCTTATGGATGACAAGTTATCTGGGTGGAGATAATCATATATATCATTTTTGTGTAAACCAATGTTAATTAACATGTGATATAACATAGTATGTAGTTTTTTCGAAAATGTGCTCGCACCATCTATGGAAAATGACTGGATTAGCCTACCAGTAGTCTGAAAGATTGTCTTCCGATCCGGGGGAACAAATCCTAGCATGCGTAAAACCATGACTGATTCTAGTGTCCTTCCAGGGGGTTTTTCCCCCCTGGACCTGCTATTGCTCCTACATTAATCATGGTAGTATCGTGATTACCAGTTTTCCAAATCAGTTATGCTCTACTCTCCTTCCTGGCTCCTGCACCGTAGTCATAAGACGTTCAGATAGAATGCTAATATTACCAATTTCAAGAGTTGGGAACACTAACATCCAAGAGTTTGTTCTAATAGCTGAATCAAATCAAAAGCCCTATCGACTACAAAAGTCGAGACCTTTCCAAACATTTCCCTCCCACTACAAGTCTTGACCACCATCCGTTAGACCATAGCAATTCCATGCCTCCACACAGTAGCTACAGACTTTGCTGCTATTTTCAACCAACACTGTAAGGACCAATAGCTAAAAATGTACAAAAAAGGAAAACACACTTGCATACAGATGTAAACACCTCAGACTCGGATATGCGTTCCCCTCACTGCCTGCAAAACCCTACAATAGAACTCCCAATCCAATTTCTTTAATCTCTCTGATATTGTTCCTCTATGAATGCTATGGTCAAAGAGATACATGTAAAAACCGCCAATTTGCACACTTCCTTGCGAAAGAAGCCAACAAATGCACGAGCATCAAAGTTGTGGGCGAAAAATGGAGTTTATCCTCGTGGTAGATAGGTTAGGTCCCACATCATAGTGCAGCCATCATGGCTTGCCGTTTCATCTCTGCAGCTTTCCCACTGCCTCTGAAGTACATGTAGACTTGCTGCAAATTGAATCCATGTCGGTGAATAAGAGACGTCAGTTAGGACTGCAGCTATCAGATAGATGACAAGCAATGACTGATGTACAATACAGTTAACAAAACCGAACCTGGATAACCCAGATGCTGAGAAGGGATTCAACTGTAAAAAGTGCAAATCCAATGAAGTAGAATACCTGCAACCATTAAACACTGGTCACTATGATATATTGCTTTCCACAATGCTAGAAAGAAAATTTTGGTACATATGTAACTGATGTCGCAGCTCACTGAAATCTACATGAAACACTAGTTACTGTCCAGAGAACTTACCCCCACTAGAGCATTGGTACCTAGAAGATCAATGGCAGGCAAAATCCCCCTGTACACAAGTTTAAAGCAAGAGTATCAGATAATAGATGATGAGATGGCCTAAAGAGTAGCTTAACAAGTTTGCTTAGATTAAAGGGAAGATGAGAAATGAGAAAAGGGGGTGAAAAGAGGAAGGACAAAATATGACGATCTTCTAATGCCAGAATAAACTTACGCAAGAGACTTCCCCTTGAAGATAATAGGCGGTGCAACCGCAGCTAAGATGCAAAAACCAATGTGGAACTGCATATAAAAAATAAAAAACCAAAAAAACAGAGAGTTAGCCGCTTTTGCTGAAGGTAAAACTTGACAACAAAGTCTATACTCTATGTAATTAGGAATTGCATCAGATTACCAGGTATGCCAGAAAAAACCACCCGAATTTCAAAGCGCTATCAGTCCTGTAAATGAAATTAGTAAAACTGTCACAGAATGTAGACGTGATACACAAGGAAGTTGCGAAGAGAGTTTATAATCTTTTCAAACTTAATCACTTATATAGCTATGTCCAAACATGTTTCCTAACAAGAACTCCATGTGTTGCATTCACTTAAAGCATGTGATTCGACAAAAGAAACAATATAAGAGTTGCAGAGACTTATCATTTTATCAAAAACTATTTCATAAACTTTCTAATGTCAAGTGAATCAAGTTTCAGAGCTAGATGTTTCATAGAACTTATGAATCCGAAACTACCAAAGGTATCCAGAAACATGGTTTCTCATTAATGATTGAGAACTAATAGGGTAATACCTCATTGCCCGGTAGAGGGGGCGATACCACAAAACATAGGCCCCGGGAACCCCGGATATGAAATAAATGACAGCGAGAAACCAAATGGTTGGACCTGAAGAAGAAATACAACTTTTAGGACAAGCCAAAATAAATAATAAAAATCTGTATCAATTTTGTCATCAAGATTCACCAACCTTCTCCTTTAATCCAGGCTGTGGTAACAGCAATAACATTCCAAAAAAGAGACAATATCAGACCTGCAGAAACAAGAAAAGCAGAAATGTTGACTAAACTAGATAAAGTACATCAGAGAGAGTAGCATGAGTTGGATGGCTAAAGTTGACAGGTTTACACCATGCAGCTCAACAATGAGACATAACTATATGAAGTACAAGGGGCGTACATACCCAACAAAGTGGTGAAAGCGACATATTGTATCCTTTGTAGATGGATAGGTATTTCATTGGCAATGTCATGATGGATAAGAGGAAAAAATGGAGGGAAGTTGTTCTCTTCAATTACTATTCCAGCTGCAAAATGGAAGAAAAAGAATATCAAACTAACCCACTCTAAAGAGCCTCAATGGTTACTAAAACATTTCAGCATATAATTGTACCTTGTGCCATGGCATCTTCTTTACGTTTTAATGCCTAGCAAAGTCAAGAAAGCAAATTATAGAAAACTATCAGTCCGATGCGGTGAACACACGGAAGAGAAATGTACTAGCATTAAGAGTACGGTATTTGAAGTAGCCAACAGGAATTCAGAATTATTTATGAGTTGAACACCTGTTCTCTCTTCTTCAATTCAGCCTCTTTAGCTTGGAGTTCCTTCTCCTTGGCTTTAATATCCTACAGAAGAAAGACGAATCACATAAGCAGAACAATCCCAGTGTGAACATTTCGATCATAATAAAAATCAAGTTTTCAAATACTTTTGCGTTATCCAGTGGAATATCGACCGTTGCACCACGACCATAAGGTTCTGGAGGGAGAGGTGAAAGCCTTGAAGATGCAGGGGCAACACCTGGATTCTGGATATAGCAAAAATTCAGAAGGTTAAATGACAACACAACTCCTCAATATCCTAACACTTACATAAAAACAAGTAGACTGCAATTATGGAAATGGACTGACAGACACCAAAAAAATTTGTGACAATAAAAATCAACTTAGAGACAATTCTGTTGAATATGACAGCAGACATCTGCTGCAATAGGAAAAAAGATCCACATAAGCTTGAAGCTCATGGTTACAACTTTGTCAGTACAACACCATGGATAAGCAATGAATTTCAAACTCAAAGGGTATGCTATTAATTAGCTGTGAACCGTATTATCAAGAAACCTTCATAAATCGTCACAGTTAACAATGTAGATAGATGAAACGAACAAATGTGTACTGAGTTAACAAAAAATCTGTATGGCCTCACAATTAAAAACGAAATCAATTACCCTGTGACAGTAACATGTAATGTCACCTCTAGAAGAGACAAAGACAACCCAGAACTTGAGCAAGTGAAATGCATAACAATCAAAACCGAAACTATCAGCAGTAAACGCTTTCTGCATCATGCAATTCCAACCTTAAAGATTCAGCTTTAAAATTTCTGGATTAAAGGATAAGAAGGCAGGAGCTTTACCGGCATGTAGAAGGCACCTCCACCACCACCATAGCTAGACTGTCCTGGTCCTTTTCCCTTCGATTGATCCTAACATCAGCAAACATTATAATATAATCAATTCTCTTCAATCCTACGCTTAAATCAACAAACTCATGCATTGCACAGCAAACACGTGTCATTCAACAAACTCTTGTCCATGGCCCTACGATTTCTGCCTAGGATCAATCAAAGTCAAGTGTCTTCCTTCAATTGCAAACGGGATGGAGAAACAACAGGTGATAAAGATTTTAAGTTTTCTTTTTCTGTTTCTGTTTGCTTTTTTCCGAAGATTTCAACTTTGCGTACAACACAATCCATTGCTTCAAGAGGAAAAGCAATTCCCTCACACCACTACAATGCACTTACAGACACGGAACAAATGCAAACAGTACAAATTTAACACCAGAAACTCCGAATTGGAGCAATGGCAAGCAGATCTAACGAACCCAATTCAAACAAACCATAAGCTTTGAACAAGCAGGCAATACCCACAAGGATTTTGAGTGAAGGGACAAACTTTTAACATACCGCAAATGGATTGACCTCGTCTTCGTCAAAGGGATTGGAATCGTAGCGACTCATTGGACCAAAATGGAGATAAAGAGGGAAGATCTACGCGCGCCCACAAAAGAACAGCAAATCTCCTGGAGATCGGCAGAGCGCGGAGAGGTGGGATTGCGAGAAGGGGAGAGAAATTGAAGAAAGAGAATAGGATTTTTCTGGGGAGTGGGAGGTGGGTTTTGGACTTTGGTTCAGAAGTGAGATTGTTGCGGAGGAAATATAGTGGTTTGAGTATGTGAGAGACAGAGAATGGAAGATCACAGCTTTACGGAAGAAAGATAGGAACCCAACGCGAGATGAAAAGGCAAATTGAATTGAGAGCGATGGTTGGGTGGGAGGAGGTTCTAGTTTCCGGCTCGCTCCGTTGGTTGGTTTGCTACTTTGCTCCCTCGTTTATTTTGTCGGCTAAACATTGTGTTAATGCTAATTACTAATTAGCAGCAGCACAGGGAATACTTGATAGATTTTTTCCCCACGGAAACAACAATAATGAATTACTACCATAAAAATATTAAATATATACCATTGATTCTACCAAAATGTAATGATGGAAAAATCCTACAATTATTAAATAATTCAAATAAGAAAATATTCAACTCGTACAAGTTAAAAATAGTTCATGATATATTTTCAGATTCTAGAAAAATTGTAAAATACATTTGGTGTCGACACTACTCAACAAATGTGTCATTGTATATCTTACAAGACAATCATTCACGAGCTGACGCATATTCGACTTCTAAATTTGTTCTTGATGTAACTCAAATCTGAAAAGACACTTTCAGTACTTGTCATACAACCATAAAATCAATACAAATTAAGGGTAGCTTGTAATTAGATTAATTTTTAGGTTTTGAAAATAATTAAAGATAGAGAATAGGGTTTTGCTATTACACAGTGTTTAGAATATAACAACAAAAAATTTATAGTGTCCTGGGTTTGAATTACCCAAACTTCCACTTATATTCTCATACGCAAACTACAAACGAGAGTAGGATAATCGTTTTTTTTTTTTTCAAATTTCAAGGTGTCACGAACTATTAATTATAATTTCTTTTGTCCATACGTAAATTACCACTGGAGGTTGGATAATCGCTTTTCCAAAATTTAGGAGTGTCCCGGGACACCCCCAAGGCCCCTGGGTCTGCCACTGGGTATGGTCACGGGTGATTGGATTGGGTATGGTCAATTGAGTTTTATGATGTGGTGTGTTGGGTTAAATTTTTTTTTTTTTTTTTTTGTAAAATTTGGGTGCCTCGACATTTCTATCAACCACGTTATCAAAATACTGACGGTGTTAGTGGAGTCTGACGAAAGTTAACTGCCATTAATCCAAATTGGAATGTTAGTTAAATTAGAGTAACCGCCAATGTAGTTAAAACTTTAAGGGTAAAGACAATTTAATATCCAAATCTTTCATTTTAAACAATATAATAGCCAAACCTTTTTGAAAACAATCTAATATCCAAATCGTCAACTTTCCGTTCGTTTGACCGTTATTTTGACACTTCAAAAAAGTTTGAAGTACGACGCTTCATCAATATCCATCGATATCTTCTCTGAAAAACCACCAACATATCGTGGTTCCGAACCCGAGAAGTCCATGACTCCACCATGATGGTATAGAATATCTAAATATTCAGTCATCTGCAATGCCAAAACAAGAAAACAAAGTTATATTGTGACAATTTCCCCTAAACAAAGCTTTTGGGATGTGTCAACTAACGGTCAAACGGACGGAAAGTTGACGATTTGGATATTAGATTGTTTTCGAAAAGGTTTGGCTATTAAATTGTTTAAAATGAAAGGTTTGGATATTAAATTGTATTTACCCAACTTTTAAGTGGCAAACATGAAACAAAAAAATTAGTAATATCAATGATCAACCATACTATTATCGGGTAATTAGCATAAACAGTCACAAACTTTTGCATTTAGTACAAAACGATCACAAATTTTTAATTTGTAACGATATGGTAACAAAAGTTTGAAATGGTCACTTATGTATAATCAGTGACGGTTTTGTATTAATTGCAAAAGTTTGTTACCGAGTCGTTACAAATTAAAGGTTTTGTGATTGTTTAGAGGTCGGATCATGTGTTCGTCAAGTATATGACACTAACCACTTGAACGACATATGAGATGTCGGGTCATGTGTTCATTTATATACTTGCTTTGCCGAATAAGAATGCCCTCTATTTACCTTTCAATTTCAAACTGAGAAAGTAAGAAAGTAGGTCGAGTTTTTTCAACTAAAAACATGTAACTCGTTTGTGAGGCATTGAATTCCTCACTGTCATTCTTTGTTTTTCACTAGTATTGTCGTCCTTTGTTACGGTCATATCATTCACATAAATTAACAAAGCCATCATACCTCGACTGGAGCAAATTGTAACAGTGATTGATCGTTCAAACCTTTGACGTTGTACAAAATGGTCTCCAAAAAATTAATTTGTAAACACACTGATTCGGGCCTAATTGTACATGTTTTGCCCCCGTTTTACTTAGGTGTTTGTGCCAATTTCACTCCTAAAAGGTTGGTTTTACGCTAGGTTGCTCGTGTTTTAGTGTGTTTCAGGATTGAACAGGTGAAACCAGCCTCGGAATCGAAAGTTGGGCGAAAAGGATCGAAAACCGGGAGAAGAGGTGAAAAAGGGCAGTTCACGGTTTTCCCAGGAAGTTCACGGTCATGCAAGATCGTGAAGAAGATCCCTTCACTGTGAATCGCGAGGCGTCTAGAGCCAAAATGAAGGTTACTGACGCATGGTGAGTTCACGGTCTCTAAGACCGTGAACAAAGGCAGTTGACCGTGAACAGAAGTGCACGATGCAGCGCGTTTTGGCGCACGCCTGAAATTCATGGACGCGTTTCGTGGTTCACGACCGTGAACTCAGCTCTTCTCTGGTTTAAATGATGAGCTGAAAGGACGAGAGTGGGGAGAGCCCATTTTGCGAGAGAAGCCTTCTTTAGAATTCTAGAGAGAGAAACACAAACAAAAGGGAGAAGAAGGTTAGGGTTTAGATTCAAGGCGGATTTTGGGAAGATTTCCTTCAAGGAAAGCCCAACTCAAGGGCCAAGAAGACTGGGAGCATCCTCCAAGATGGTTTCCACATCTTTCCCTTTTGTTTTCCCCACTTCTAGCATGGAGTAGACCTCCTTTCACTTGGGTGTTGTGGAACCCTAACTCTACCATCTAGTTTTCTTTTATGTGTATTGGATGATTGTCATTGGGTATTGTTCAATTCAATGATTGTGGCATTATTTATCATGATTGTGCATGCTTGTGCTTAGCAACCTAGGGGTTGTGCATGTTTTGTGCTTAGCATCCTTAGGTTTGTGCATTTAGGTGCTTAGCAACCTAAGTATTGTGCATAATTATGCTTAGCACCCTTAGGTTTGTGCATGTTGGTGCTAGCAATCTAATTAGCCACCTTAGCCTAGCTTAGACAGGAAAATCCCCCTTACAAGGGAGACTCAATCGAGTTGGTTTTCCTTCTGCTTTCTAAGCCACCTAACTAGGTTAAGTTAGGGCAACCCTCAATGTTGACTTAAGCAAATCAGGTAATTGCGATTAAACCGTCCGACCTTTTAGTTGAGTGAGGGAGTAAGTCAATTACCGATTGTTTAAACCGAGAGGGTCGAGTGACATGGCCTTTCATGCTTACCTCGGTTTAGCAATTGAGATTGTGATCTCCGACCATATATGCATCCCTCTGCGGTTCGCGATTACCGTTCCCAAGGCAATCGTTCCAATTCACATATCATGGTAGCAGTTAGGGGGAAGCGACACCCGAGTGATCCTTCAACAAAAGAGTTTCCAAACCATTTACCTTTGCCTTCTGTTCTTTCAATTAGCAAACCTTTAAACCAAAACTTTGTTGCTAGATAATGATTTCAACAACCGAAGTAGGGGTAGACGGACCGGTCCGGGTTGATATCTAAATACTTGACCTATACTGCACCCGACTAGAGTTTAAAACCTTGGGCTCTAGTTGGAGTTTTATTGTAGTTTAGTTTCGTGGGAGTCAAGTTTTTGGCGCCGTTGCCGGGGACAACGGTATGTTATCTTGAAAAATTGTTGGTTGTTAATCTAGCTTTTAATTTCCAGTTTTGCAAGTGTGTGTGCTTTGCTTGTTCTAGACTTGGTGTGTTTTTCGATTGTGTGTAGGTGGTGCATTACCCGGAGTAACCCAGCACCTTTGCTACCACTTGACGAGGACATAAACCAAACTCTCCGGCTTTGGGTCCCGGTGTTAGTGGAGAAGTAGTTGAAGAAGTGGAAGTTGAACCAGTCATTGAAGTGGAAATGGCGGGGAATCAAAGGCAAGATGGCGCTCAAGCTCGCCAGTTGAACGATGCGGCGGAGGACGAGGATGCCCCGAGGACAATGGGGTACTATACTGCCCGAAGGCCGGCGAACATCCAAACGCCAATCCTATATCCTCCAGTGGAGGAAAACAATTTCGAGATTAAGTCGGCTCTAGTGACTATGATACAAAGTAATGCTCTATTCCACGGCCTTGAGAGCGAGTCACCAAGAGAGCACGTGCAGAGATTCTTGGAGCTCGCGGGGAGTTTGAAAATTAATGGTGTGTCGGCCGAAGCTTTGCAACTAAGGCTTTTCCCTTACTCACTCTCGGGGAAGGCACTTCAGTGGCTAAACAACCGCCCACCTCGGTCTATCACCTCATGGGACGACCTCCTCAACAAGTTTATGGCTCGTTATTGCCCGCCTTCGAAGACGACGGAATGGAGAAAGAAGATTACACATTTCGAGCAAGAAGAGGACGAGACCTTGAGGGATGCTTGGGAGAGGTACTTCGATTACTTTCTTCAGTGCCCTCACCACGGGTTTGAAGAACAGTTTCTGATTGAAACCTTCTACGGAGGCCTAATACAAGAGGATAAAATTCCCATTGACTCCTTGTGTCAAGGGAAATTGATGAATATGGCTCCACCCCAAATAACCGAGATACTTGAAGACATGGCCCTTAGGGGATACGATTGGGGGTTGACTAGAATTGGAAGAAGGAGCAATGATAGGAGTGCTCCGCTTGAGGCGAAGTTGGATAAAATACTTGAGGTTATGCTTGAAGATAAGAAGCAAGGAAAAAGGTCGGTGATGTCGTGTGACTGGTGCTCGAGCACCAGTCATGAGATGGCGGAGTGTCAAGCAATGAAAGAGGCAACCACTCTGGAGGGCAAGTTAACTTCGTGGCAAATGCTAGGGTAAACAACCCGTATAGCAATACTTATAACCCCGGATGGAGGAACCACCCCAACTTTGCTTGGGCATCGCCGACAAATCCGAGGCCCCCGGGTTTCCAAGGCCCCACGGGAAATCTCCAACCTCGGCCAACCTTCATCCAACAAAGGCCCCAACTCCAAGGCTCAAGCTTCCAACAACCGCACCAAGCGCAAGGTGCCCTAGGATTTCAATAACAACAACCCGACAACCTATCTAAGCTTGAAGACCTAGTGAACACCTTTGTGGGTACGAGTAGCCAAAAGTTCGAAAAGATAGAGCAATTTATGGATGTGGCGACTAACAAGTTTACCTCGATCGAGACGGGTCTCCGAAGCCATCAAGCGAGCCTCCAAAACTTGGAGGTGCAAATCGGCAACCTTGCCGGCATCCTCACCGAGAGACCCAAGGGAGCTTTACCTTCCCACCCCTTGGTGAACCCCAAGGACCATTTCGGGGTAAATGCGCTTCAAGTGTGAAGGTGGTTCCGGAAGTCGCCACTAGTGAAGTAATAGAGAAGGAAGATACCAACAAGGAAGTGACCAACCCAAAGAAGGGAGAAGGGAAGCCCTCGAGGAATGAGAGGAAGGCAGCAAGGAAGGCTTTGCCGGTGGATGGATACACACCACCTCTTCCTTATCCCACAAGGATGTACAAGGAGAGGTTGGAGAACAAGTGTGGAGGTTTCATGGAAATGCTCCGCAACCTCCACCTCAACATCTCGTTCCTCGAAGCCATGGCTCAAATGCCAAGATATGCCAAGTACCTCAAAGGATTCCTCATCAAGAAGCCAAGGCTTGAATGCCTCGCCAACGTGACTCTGGGGCGAGGAGTGTTCGGCTTACCTCCTTGACCGTTGCCCAAAAGCGGTCCGACCCAGGTAGCTATACTATCCCTATTGATATTGGAAACCATCATATAGACAATGCCTTGGGGACCTAGGAGCTAGTGTTAATGTGATGCCCTACAAGCTTTTCAAAAAGTTACAAGTAGGTGAACTTAAGACCTCTAAGCTTAGCATCACCTTAGCCGACCGTTCGGTTATTAGCTCGAGAGGTATAGTGGAGGACATGATGGTGAGAGTGGGCAAGTTTTGCTATCCAACCAATTTCGTGATTCTCGACATAAGTGAGGACTCGGATATGCCCCTCATCCTCGGTCGTACCTTTCTTGCAACCGCCAAGGCATTGATAGACGTTAATGAGGGGACACTAATTTTGAGGGACGGTAAGGAGAGAATCAAGCTTGAAATTGATCCTAGGGTTAGGAGTGATGAAGTGAAGGGGGTAGTTTCAAATGATGTGAATGAGAGTGGAGGAGAGCCTCTCAAGGCAAACCCCACCATTACTTGTGTTGTATTTTGATGATGTTGAGCAGGAAGTTAAGAAGGGTCCTAAGCACAAAAGATCGAGGATGAAGGGAGCTTTGCCCCGGAAGATGGGGGAGGCCGAAGCAATATCGGCCAACCAAGAGGGCCAACTCAAGGAACCTAAGATGGGAGGCTCCAAGCCTCGCCCCGAGAGTGTGGTGGATCCGCTCTCGGTGGCATCACGTTTGATGTGAAATCATTATCATTGTACATGTTTTGCCCCCATTTTACTTAGGTGTTTGTGTCAGTTTCACTCCTAATAGGTTGGTTTTACGCTAGGTTCCTCGTGTTTTAGTGTGTTTCAGGATTGAACAGGTGAAACCAACCTCGGAGTCGAAAGTTGGAAGAAAAGGATCGAAAATCGGGAGAAGAGGTGAAAAAGGGTCAGTTCACAGTTTTCCCAGGAAGTTCACGGTCATGCAAGACCGTGAAGAAGAGCCCTTGACCGTGAATCGCGAGGCGTCCAGAGCCAAAATGAAGATTACTTACGCATGGTGAGTTCACGGTCTCTAAGACCGTGAACAGAAGTGAACGATGTGGCGCATTTTGGAGCACGCCTGAAGTTCACGGACGCGTTTCGTGGTTCACGGCCGTGAACTCAGCTCGTCTCTGGTTTAAATGATGAGATGAAAGGAGGAGAGAGGGGAGAGCCCATTTTGTGAGAGAAGCCTTCTTCAGAATTCTAGAGAGAGAAACACGAACCAAAGGGAGAAGAAGGCTAGGGTATAGCTTCAAGGCAGATTTTGGGAAGATTTTCTCCAATGAAAGCTCAACTCAAGGGCCAAGAAGGCTGGGAGCATCCTCCAATATGGTTTCCACCTCTTTCCCTTTTGTTTTCCCCACTTCTAGCATGGAGTAGACCTCCTTTCACTTGACTGTTGTGAAACCCTAACTCTACCATGTAGTTTTCTTTTATGTGTATTGGATGATTGTCATTGGGTATTGTTCAATTCAATGATGGAGGCATTATTTATTATGATTGTGCATGCTTGTGCTTAGAAACCTAGGGGTTGTGCATGTTTTGTGCTTAGCATCCTTAGGTTTGTGCATTTAGGTGCTTAGCAACCTAAGGATTGTGCATAATTGTGCTTAGCACCCTTAGGTTTGTGCATGTTGGTGCTAGCAATCTAATTAGCCACATTAGCCTAGCTTAGAGAAGAAAATCCTCCTTCCAAGGGAGACTCAATCGAGTTGGTTTTCCTTCCGCTTTTTTTTTTCCAAGCCACCTAACTAGGTTAGGTTAGGGCAACCCTCAATGTTGACTTAAGCAAATCGGTTAATTGCGATTAAACCGTCCGACCTTTGAGTTGAGTGAGGGAGTAAGTCAATTATCGATTGTCTAAACCGAGAGGTTCGAGTGACACGACCTTTCATGCTTACCTCGGTTTAGCAATTGAGATTGTGGTCTCCGACCATATATGCATCCCTCTGCGGTTCGCGATTACCGTGCCCAAGGCAATCGTTCCAATTCACATATCATGGTAGCAGTTAGGGGGAAGCGACACCCGAGTGATTCTTCCACAAAAGAGTTTCCAAAACCATTTACATGTACCTTCTGTTATTTCAATTAGCAAACCTTTAAACCAAAACTTTGTTGCTAGATAATGATTTCAACAACCGAAGTAGGGGTAGACGGACCGGCCCGGGTCGATATCTAAATACTTGCCCTATACTGCACCCGACTAGAGTTTAAAAACTTGGGCTCTAGTTGGAGTTTTATTGTGGTCACACACAGTAACAAAAGTTTGAACTTGTAAGAAATGGTCACACTGTTTAATTTATGACCATATTGTTCTAAGTAGAAAGTTTTGTTACCATATTGTTACAAAGGGCTTTACAAAGTAAGGGCTTGTTTGTGACCATTTTGTATTATGTGCAAAGATTTGTGACCATTTATCCTTTATTTATATATTTTGATCATGAATTAGCGATTAAGGAAATGACGATTCTACGAATCTTGATGAATTCAATAAAGCTCAATTACAACATCTCTTGTTAAACTTAAATATTAATTAGGGCCTAGATGAAGACAGAATACAACATAAAAATGAACTTGGAGAATCCAATAATCATGCTATGTAACAGCTTTCGACCAATTCAGCCAACATTTCATTATCAAGAACTGGCAACAAATTTGACAATACAACAACCAAAGGAAGCAGAAAAGAAAGAATAATAATGATGGGGGGTTAGGACATTTCTGCAGATCACATACATTCATTCTAGCATAACAAATACTTTTTTTCCAGCGCAACCACAACACGTACAAAAAAATAATTGACAACCATGAATTTGGTTGTGGGAGGGGGCAAGTCTTTTTTTGTTTTGTCCATCCAGATCACCAGACACCTAGCTTTCTGTTATTGCCTTTGGAAGAAAGATTCTGTCTGGTTTGTTCTTCTTCCAAAGGGCAAGAATTTCAGCAATCTGAGCAAAGCCCTTCAAGCACAAGAGGCCTGTTAGTTGTGGAATTTCGGCAGTGCATTTGTTTCCACAGACTAAGATATGTACTCGGGGAAAGGAGAGAGTCAAGAAACTTCAAAACTTGATGGTTCATATCTCCGCATCATTTTGCTCATTGGAGGGGGTTCAAGAATTTGCATTACAAGTCCTGATGTTAATCTGGCTGGGGTCATCCGGATTCAGTCTCCTATGGATTCGCGGCTGGGGTGCTCTCTTCTGATCATGTTGTTTAGATCCTGAACAACCTCAGACATCTGTGGCCTGAATTCAGGCTCAGACTGCAGACAAGGACAAATATTCCAGGTCAGGTTGAACATATCTATGTCTTGCTAACCAACCTTACAAGTCATTGCTAATGTTGCTTTTCTATCAGAAGTAATCAAAATGATGCAAATCAATCTAGCTCCAATAATTTAGTTTGAGAAATGTAGCTCAAACAAACTCATGTTTCAATCTAACTTCTTCAGACAACTTTTCACCTGAAGCCATTCTTCAAATATGTAAATCTAACAGCCCGATCGTTTCATCCTTACAAGTTATAATAACAATAATAGTCACTACCCAAGACCCAATATTAAGCAAACCACCTGACATCAATTACTCTTTTGCTGCTTAAAAGTTCTTGTGCTACATTAACTCCAGTCTTTCAAAATTCTTAGCGAACAACACTTTTTGTTTGCACTTCAAAATTACTTATTTTGCTTGTCTTTCAAAAGTTAAAGCAAACACACCCTAAAGTTCTGGGATGTAACCAATAGAGGAGTTTGACGGGAGATTTTTTACCTGAACACATCGAGAAATTATATCAGCAAAGTTTGAGAGTGACTTAGCAGGGTATTGCCCGTTAAGAGAAGGGTCAACCATCCTGGATAATGCATCGATGTCATGGAGCTGAGGGATTGCCCACCTCACTAGAAACTGCTCACCACGGTTCCGTGACCTATACATATTTCCATCCCCGAGGAAACAAGAATGAAGATTAATGTCTATGAACAAACCATTTGGCAAAGTGATGATGCATGCTTGGAACTTGTTATTTACCGGTCATAGGATTTTCGGCCTGTCAAAAGCTCCAACATTACAACACCAAAGCTGTAGACATCACTCTGGATAGTGTAAATTCCAGACTCAAATTCTGGTGCCCCATAGCCATATGCTGTTAGCAGCTGCCCTGACAACTGAGAAAGGGACCGAGTTTCAGAAAGAACACTTGTGAAACGAGTGAAATAAAAGTGAGGAACTAACCCAAACCATAAAATTAAAAGGAGAGAGAAAACAAGAAAGTTTAGACAGTGTGAGGCAGTGGCCTAGGGTCTGAGATTTAGCTACCACTTTGGTGTTTGCTAAGCAAACTATGTATCGTCTTAAAATTCACATAACCAGGATTTTCTAAGTCGGGTCCAGTACTAATTTTTTCCCCAAATGGGTTTAATTTAATCTTGATGTACCTATGAGCTAATAAATAAACTAGCATATGCGCAATATGCTTCTTGGCTTCATTAGTTCCTCGGAATGCTCTGCAGCTCCTATAATTTCCACTCTCTCGTTTAGTCAACATAAATATCTAGTTGACATATAAAGTTGTGATTATGATTACCATAAAACCCAATATGACAAAGTATAGCAGATCTAAGTAACAAACACAACAATACATTCCGTATGCACCTCATGTGGCGTTTCTTGCAACTTTCATGGGGCCGGGGGTTCAAACTTAGAATAAACTTACTTCTGCTACGGTCTATTAAAGCCAACATACTAATAGAATTTCTGGTGTAATTTAAATGCTTTAAGGAGCGCACAATTGCATGAAAACGGCACATGGACAAGAAGGATCACGAAATCAGATTGCAAATCCTAGTCAATCAACATGAAGAAATTGTCAAGCTTAGATGGATAAAAAAGGAACTTTACCTGTCTTACAGAACCAGATGATATTAATGAAGCTAAACCACAATCCGATACACGGACATCAAGATCATCATCTAGGAGAATATTGGCCGACTTGAAATTTCTGTGAACAACAGGTGGCTGGCAGACCTCATGCAAGTATCTGATCATATAGAGAAACACAATCACTATCCGTAGAAGGAAGAACAGGATGAAATTTGGGCACAACATCTGTTGGCATTATCACAGCTAAATGATGAGATTTCCACAGCTCAGCTGTCTAACAAATATAATGGTAAGACAATCGACTTACTCGAGTGCTCTAGCAGCTCCTAGTGCCATCCTAATGCGGGTGTTCCAGGAGAGATTATCCTTTAACTCATCGTCCGAGTGCAGTAAATCCTGCAGGCTGCCATTACTACAGTACTCATATATCAGAAGCCTCTGGTCATGCTCTGCACAGTAGCCCATAAGCTCAACAATGTGAGCATGTCGGATTCGATCAATATTGTTGACCAGTTCAAGAAACTCATCATCACGCTGACTCGAAGCTCTCTTGTCCAGTTTCTTGACTGCCAGAAGCTGCAAGTATCCACAAAAATATCAGACATCAAAACCAAAATCCATCTTTAGCTTAGGTGAACAACCTAAGTCCTGTCCTTTATCAAGAAATATAAGAGGATAATATACAAAGCTAAGATTCTAGCTCCCATTTGGCTTGGAATCAGAGGTTGCGACTCAGTGTGTACCCTTCTCATAGCATTGACATAGAACCTCCAATGTAAAAAGCTGCGCTAGAAGTACATCACTATATTTACAACCCTTTTTTCTCAAAATAACATAGTTTCCCCCCTTTTGCATTATTTAGTAACTAAACAAAATTAGTCAACGGTAACTTTTAAAATAAACCAAATCGATATTAACTAATTTATATGTTCTTTATTTTTTCTATTTCTTATTCTTTGTAGTAATTTATATCATAATTTTAACAGTTTATCAAAAGAACAATTGAACAGTTCTTTTTACCAAACTGAATTTCTCTAAAGCTGTGCCGAACAATATTATTAAATTTAGCTAAGTTCCTTCGCCTGAAGAAAATAAAGCGCACACACGAAACTAACAGCTATTGACGAACCTTTCCATTAGGACGCTCTGCCCTATAAACAGTTCCCAGCATTCCGCCACCAATGAGATTTTCTTGCGAAAAGCTGTTTGTATATTGCTGGAGAGAAGCAATGGTGAAACTCCTTGCAGAAGTGGTGACATCCCTAGTTTTGGTGGAAGGTTTTGCAGCAGCACTTGGTTCAGCAGGCACAAGTGGGTTCACAATGACCTTCTCAACAGGAGCAGGTGGTGGTGGAGGAGGAGGAGGTGGTGGTGGTGGAGGCGGCGGCATATACATCATATCCATCGAGTCTAGCCTGCTCAAATCAATTTTATGATCATTCCGTTTGGGTGCTGCTGCTGCTGCCACTGTGGGAAGGCTTCTTTCAGGTGATTTTTGTGGCACCAGATGGTCTTTCTTTGCCTGTGCCATTGTCTCCTTTGGATCTATTTACAAATAGTTCACAGTATGTAATCAACAGATGTAAACAAAATTATACCGCCAAAAGGTCCAAATAGAAATTTCATGTACCTTTTTCTATTTGTGGTTGACTAGTTGGCAGGAACAAAGAACTATTACTGTCTCTGGGATGTTCTCTGTTGCCTTTGTCTGCACCAACTTGATGCCGTTTGAAATTTCCAGTACCGTCTTCTGTTCTTCTACGATGCTTCGGCATGCAAATAAGGCATACCATCATCACAATTAGAAATGCCAATCCCCCAGCAATTGAGAACCCAACTACCATTTTTTTGCTAGATTTCTTTCCACTTGATTTCTCTTGTGAAGATGGCCCCTCTGCCTTTTCTCCACGAGTTTTTCCCGGAGGTGGTGGTATTGACGACGGTGGAGACCCAGAAGGAAATGGTCTTGTTGGTGGTGGTGTTTCCGGGTAGAAGGGTGCTGGCAATGGGGCACCAGTTGTAGCGTTGAATGGGTTTCCATCTTTACTGCATAACACAACCTGACCGGTTATGGACAGCTCACACTGATCTCTTTTCTGCTTAACACAAATTCAGTGGCAAGTTTTTCTTTTTCTTATTCTCTTTTTCTTCTACCCTAAAAAATGAAATACAGAGTTACTTTTATAACTCACTTGAATGTAGGAATATTAAGCATCTTGTCAGGTATGGGTCCTGAGAACAGGTTATTCTCAATGTTCCTGTTTTGCAGAGGAAGACACAAATAAGTCAAAGAAGCATCTTTAGACATTTAGGGAAACCAACCATATGACTGCATTAAATTTGAGATACTTAATGCTACTTCATAGACGAGCAAAAGGAGAGCATTACAGATCTTGAAGTGGGAGGTCCTGGAGAACATCAACGGTACCAGATAACTGATTATCCTGCAAATGCCTGCCAACACGAGTCAATTAGCTTTACAATGCAGGGGGCATTCAGGGGAAACAATGATGAAAAAAACTTACAATGTAGTAAGCTGAAGCAAGTTAGAAAAGGAAGGAGGCAGATTCCCACTCAAATTGTTGTTGGATATGTCTCTGCAAAAAGATTCAAGTGCTTCAATCAAACATAACACAAGCCATTGGAAATGGAAACGGAAAAGCTAGTTGCATGACTAGTCGAAAATGAGAACCCCTACAGATTAATCAATCCTGCTTGGGGTTGAAAGGAATCGGGTATCTCTCCACTTAAGAAATTGTCGTTCAGAGACCTGGAAGTGCAGAAGTCAATATGTGAGCTGAATTTGCAAAACTGAACATAACAAATAATGCACATCCAGAACTCACATATCTGTCAAGAGAGGTAGAGAGGGCAGAGAATCTGGAATGCTCCCCGTCAAATTATTAGCCGATAGGAAACTGGAAAAAGAAGAGTATCATGAATTCACATAAGCAGGTAACTATAACAGTTATGAAAAACCAAAGCCACAGAAAAAGTGACACAAATGAAAAAGACACGTACAGTGTTCGCAAAGTAGGCGGCAATGTGGCTGGAATGCTCCCGCCAATGCGGTTATTGCTTAGATCTCTGGAACATAGAAATAAACATACAAAACTAATGCTTAGGTAATGTATAATTACACTGGTATAGAAGTTTATTAAAAAACATAGAGATTGCATTAAAAGCGAGAGCTATACTTCCTTGTTCATGTTCAAGGAAGCACAAGCAGAAGGCCCAAAAGTTTACATAACAGAATGATGAAGCTAAAACATATTTAACTGTATGAGGAAACAACTGCCAATGGCTCCTAAATTTCGATTAACCAACTTGTATGATACAAATAATTGCTGATGGGCGGGGAGAAGAAAAAGAGACTTACATGGATCGGATAGAAGTGAACATTCCCAAACCATTACCCAGTCCTCCACCCAAATTAGCTGCATTGAGAGTTCTGTAAAACCCTCCCAAGACAAGTAATTGTCATGATCTACCAGTCATTATTAACAGTAATTAAACATACACCACAGTTCAAAGCGAGGATTCTCCACACTTACATGGATATTATCGTTGAGTCATTACACTGAACACCTTGCCACGCTTCACCACAAGGGTCGCCGGCGCTGGCAACCCAGCCAGGTAAAATAGGATTCCCCAGTGAAGCGTATAAGCTATTAATTGCAGCAACTAATTCAATAAAAAAAACAATGCTGGTGATCAGCCCCAAAGCTCAATCGAAACAAAACAAAAGAACTAACAAACATGACCTGCACAGCACATTGTACTACTAAGAACATTTTCCCAATGAAAGGGGGAGAAGCTGAAATGTCCAGCTCAAGCTCGAAATTTGCTCCAAACCCCCTTTGTCTTTTTCTTTTTTCACAGAGACCAAACAGCTGAAAAAGGAGTTTCTGAGAAAAGATGATTGTGAGAGAGAGCTTCCATTACCATCATTAGCATCAGTACTTCCAACTGAAACTTGAGCAGCCCAGATCAAAGCAAAGCCCAAAAGGGGCAGAGCATAGATCTCCCAGCTACTGAAGCACCGTCCACCAGATCTATGCGCTCCCATTGATCCTTAAAAAGCCTCAATTATCTCTTCCTCCACCACCGTCAACCATAACCACAGCCTCCAATCTGAGAGTGCAGACCAAATTCACAGCAGAGAGAATTAGAGCAGAAAAGTCACATTCCATGTGATCCCATTCAACTACAGCTCAACAACTAAGCACTTCCCCACAATCCAAACCAAGAAACAAAATTGCAAAAAACTTTAGTTATTATTATTATTAAATTTCAAAAAGGAAGAATCCAATAGAACAAACAGTAACCCATCTCTCCAATTATTATTGTTTCTCTCTCACACTCCACCCCACCATGTTTACACTTGTAAGAAACAGCAAGAAAAAGGGTGTCAAAAAGTGAGCAAGAAAAGATTAGACAGAGATAGACAGAGAAAGAGAAAGAAAGAGAGAGTTTAGTAGCAATAAGCAGACGAACCCTTGAGAGGGAAATGCAGAAGGTAGCGAATCAGAAGCAGTCAATTGCGAATAGAAGGAGAATGGGATTGGGCAGTCTTTTTTTTGGTTGGGAAAAGTGGTGGGCTGAGAAGCTTGAGGACTAAGATTCACGGAACCTGGATTGGATGGATAATAGCCTCTTGGAAAGTTGAAACAGACACAGAGAGAGGGACAGACGCAAGGAGAACACAAATCCCACAAGCAAGCAAATGGGAGAGCAAGTAGAAGAAGCGAAGAAAAGAAAAGAGGTTTGCCCAGAAGAGGAGATAAGGAAAAGTGGGTAGCTTTGTTTCGCTGGGGAAAAAAGGGAAAGAAGAAATTGGAGAAGAGAATCCTACCCAAAGCAAGCAGGAGAGGGAAAGAAAGGGAAAGAAGTGGAGATGGGAAAGTGGGTATCTTCCTCTGTAGGTTGCGGTGAGAGAGAGAGAGGGGGAGGTGCGTCTGTTTCTATGACTGTAATCTGTAAGTAAGTCAGTCATTTTTCTTTGCCTTTTCCCATTTTGCTTTTCAACAGTTGCAGAGCAATCCGTTAGCTTTTTCTCACTCTTTTCCTTTCCTTTGTTTCTCTCTCTCTCTCTCTCTCTCTCTCTTCTTTTTGGGTTATTCTTTTGCCTGGTGGCCGACGTCAAGCGAAGCAAGCGCCTGCAAACAAACCCGCTGGCGTTTCGGTCGCCAAATCCAGTCAGTGGATACATATCCACGTTCGGGGGCCGTCATCGCCGGTCTCCTACATAAATCTTACTTTATTTACATAATAAAATAATAATAGAATCAATTACCGAATAATAATAATAATTTAATTTAATTAAAACGATGTCGTGGTGGAGGTGGAAGTAGTACGAGAGAGTAGGGATGGCAATTTCGACCTGACCCGTTTTACCCGACCTGTTTGACCTGTTTTGGGGCAGGTCCGACCCGCCCCGTAGGCGGGGCGGGGCGGGCATGGGTAGTCTCATCGACCCGACCTGCCCTGACCCGCCCCATTCTCGACCCGTTCTTGTCTAAATTACATGTAATCTTAGTCAAATTACTTTGAATTTTCCTTTTATTGCATCATATTTTAGCTATAATAAAGTTGTAAATTAGTGAAAACCTCAACTTCTCCAATAATTTAACTACAATTGTCATAATATTGTTTGTTTTCTTAGTCTTATAATAAAAATAACGAATATTTCTAATGTTTTTCATATAAATTGCATACCCATTGGGTCGACCTGCCCCGACCCGCGACCCGTGATCAATTACCCGACCTGGACCCGCTCTGCCACGGGGCGGGTCTGGGTACCAAGAAACCCGCCCCGGACCTGCCCATTGCCATTCCTACGAGAGAGTATCAACATTTAAGCGGTCGGTAGGGGTGGAAGGAAATCCCCTGTCGGTTGATTAATTTGGCGAGTAGGAATTGTCCAATTATGTGTTGTATACTTGTATTACTTTAAAATATAAGGGCACAAGGTTAGAATTTAAATTCTTTCTGACAGATATGTTCATACACATGTCTACGTTGATCGATAAACTCAAAGTCGGGAGAAGTATTGTTAAAGTTTAATTTTTTTGTTTCGTTGGTTGTTGGTCCTTAAGGTTCGAATTAAAGGAGTGACGGATGTTTTCATTCACATATTAAAGTTTAAATTCATCGAAAAAAATATAGTTCGAAGTTTAATTAACAATCTATTCGTAAATGTAGCTAGATTCATGAACTAAATTCCGAGACACCCCTACCGTATTAGGAGAAATTACTGATCCCTGTGTGGTAGTAGTAGTTTCAAGTTTGGAAGAAAAAAATATGAAAAGTAAATGCTTGTTTTATTGATTTCAACTCATGACTCTACAATTCTTAAACGAGGAATTTTGCAATGTTATATAACATTGGTGTTATAGGTTTTTGTCTTTATGGTACAACGTGAAATTGTACTTTTAACGTCAATACTTTTTGTACAAATTCTCTTATGGTAGAACTTGTACCTTTATGTGATGGTACAACTTCAAGTTGTGAAATTGTATCATAATATAATGATACAAATTCCTTTATGGTACAACCTGAACCTATACATTTAACATTATGGTACAACTTTAAGTTGTACAAATTCCTTTATGGTACAATTTTAAGTTGTACATTAAAACACCAATACTTTATATCATAGTAGAAGTGCTCTTCTTAAAGATCATATTATTCATTACACTACAAAAGCAATCTTTTGTTGTGTTTAAGAAATTGGTTTTATTTGCAAACTTAGACAAAGTCCAATTAAAGTGAGATTTCCAAAAAGTTTCATCCAAATCCCAAAAACTAAACCCCTCAACCCAGGCTCGTCCAATGAATCGTCGAGATCATGTTTCAGAATTGAGATGTGACAAACTTTTTTAAGTACAATAAAATGAAAATGGGTATAGCATCTTTGTTTAACCAATAATTTCAAATTAAATTATACATTCTCTCCCATTTTTCACTTTACGAGAAATCATTTTCAATCGTCATTATCCTTAATCCATTAAGAGATTAAGGATATCTTGTCACTTTTTTACACAAATAGGACTTTGAGAGTACAAATATGACTTTAACAATGAATATACATACCTCAATTATAATTACATGAGAATATTGACCAATGACTAGCATTAGCATTAATTAACATATTTAAACGCATCATCATAACCATAATCAATCAATCATATGCCACAAATTCATTATATAATAAAGGATTTAATCAACTAACATTACCCACGATGGAGGCACCCTACCCTAACATTCTGAAGCCTTGTGCCAAAGGGCCTCCAGGACACCACATTGGTCTGCCTTGCCTCCACCAATATATCATTCACGAACCAAGAAAAAAGCAACAAGATAATGAACTCTCATTTCTTCGATCGAATATGTGATTAGTTCGTGAGCAATTGTCTACTAAGATATATTAAGTGGACATTATGATTTCTTTCAAAAAATAAAACTTGTCGTAGTATTTTCTTGTAGCTTGTTCTAATATGACTAGACAAGAATTGAACCATGGTCTCTTCCATCAAAGACATGTAACCAATTAGACTAGACACATTTGTTGTACTTTTTTAATACAAAACATAGAGGAAGTTAAAATTATGAAAAACAGAGTACTTTTCTATCACGGTTAGTTAGCTCGCTAAGTCTCCTGTCAGTATTTTGTGGTGTTTGATAATTCTATTTTCATATTTTAATAATTAATTTAGAATTTTTTCTAACTTATAAATGAAGGATAATCTTAAAATCTCAATACAAATATCATTGATTGGAATATTGCGCATTGAATTGAAGTGTTGAATGAAGTGTTCAATGACGGCATAAGAACATTGGTACCATACATTTCAAGAAAAATAAACATGACAAACAGCGATACCAATTATATCGACAGTCTATGCTAAAATTCGAATTTGTTTAATCATTCAATTTGAGTGACAGTTTAGTCAAAGCAAGCAAATACACGATTGAGTATGAACAAAAATAAAAACATATGTATTATATTATAAAAATGTATTTATTTTAACAATCTAAAAAAGCAATCAAGACATCCATATACAAGCCCTTATTTCAGCATTGTAATTAATGAAATTTTTTTATCAACATGGTGCAATGTTTAAGCTAAGGTCAAATTATTAATCACCAGTATATAGTATTCAGCTTAGTAAACTATTTCAATATCCACAGCTAACTATTAATAATTACTTGCTTTCTGTTTGAGGGTTTAATGTAACACTCTCATGCCTACACTCTAAGCATTTTTTTTTCCTTTTTCTAATATTTTTTGCAGTTATTTGTTAAATCAACTATATTTCTAGCTTTCTGTTCCTAATTATTCACTGCTTCCTACCAACTTATGGGAATGATGAATATTTTTTTCATGTATAATCTATTGAGTATGAATGTTGCTTATTACTTAAATTCAACGGTATCCATGTTAGGTTTGATGTCTCCAACATATTCTCACAATTTCTCGAAAAAGCATCATATCTTGCGATTGATATCATAGTTTGTTAGGTAAAGTTCAACAAACTCAATCAATATTCGAACTCTTTGAAGTAGCTATCTACATGTGAATATGAAGTACTGATCAGTAGCTAAAACTCTACTTGAGTTAGTACGATCTTTTGCTCTATCAATTAAAATTCAATACATGATTATCTTATTACAATTTAGTCATACTAATTGTGCAATAGGGGACATCTTATCAAAATCGTATCGAAAGACTCCTTGATTGATCAGTTTCAGGATGTAATCAATTATACCAAATAGAAGTGATCAAATTTATAGGATGCTCTCAAAGTTTGCTATAATTATTGAGGTTCAACAACACGTTAATCGTAAGGTGGTCATTGGGCATTTGTCTATCTCCTATAGCTCACCTGGACACGCTTAGATGTTGTAATAAAAATAGTAATTTTTAATAATGATGAATGAAGTAATAGTTCTGAAGCACTTTCATACTTCAGTTCAAATGATTTAACAAAAGCAAAATAAATCTCAAGTTTATAAATTTTTTTATAACAAAATGGTATAATTAATTCATTTATGAGCTGAAATAGCTAATTATAAGCACTTAAATTTTTAAGTTAAAACTCATATGATATAATTGTTTGACGAAATGGTTTTTATCATAGAGTGGTTCTATCGAGAGAGGTATCTAAGAAACATGGCTTACTTTAATTATTATTCATTAGGTAGATATAATATATATCTTCATCATTACTTTTACATTGGATTCAATTTAGTATACTTTTTTCGTTTAGATAGATTTTTAATGATTTGTTGGGATATAATATATCATTATTGTATGATGATGTAGGATATTAGTTCCTCTCATTTTTGGTTCAAATTGATGCATTTTTCCCTTTATCGTTCCCTTTTATCCGTTAATAATTTTTATGATATTTTTCACTATGAAATATCGTGAGCAGAATCTATACTCAACAATTTGTGTTTTTTCGCTTCCTCTTCTCTTGATTAGATATTGTGTTCATATTGATTCTTTATATTGATTATTGAATTACTACTTTTTTGTTCTGAAGTTTATGAAACTAAGATGCATTTTTTTTAGAAACATGAAACTAAGGTGCATATTGATAAAGAATGTAAGGCGTCATCTTCCCTCTTAAGGCTTAAGCACTATATATCATTGTTTACCTACTGTTAAATCAAGGTCTTTCTAACTTGAGTACGAGCTACAATAACTTTTATTGTTGTCGATTTTCCCCAAAATATTAGATATGTTGCTTCTAGTTTTCACATTCTTTTCAGTTTGATTTAGCTTTTTATGTTTTGCTCTATTAGTTGAACTTGCCACTTGGAGATCTGCATGCTTTGACTACATTAATGTCACAGTGACTTCTATATGAAATGCCACTCGAAACATGAGTGTGTGATCTAGTTTGTTTCTTATTAAGGACACTCTAAACATATATTTTGTTCCATTATATCATTGAATACACTAAAGTCAATGGAAAAGTCGAAACATTTTATCGTATACTGAAGATTGATTATGCATGTATGATATAAAACAACTCTTACCATTGTTCTTCTTAGACCGTTTTATATCAATACCACTTCGTTTGAAAATATGTATTTATGTTAATGTAGTTGGACGTTGTTCGTCATTTTTAAAAC